CAAGGCCCAGAGAGGGAAGTGATTTGGCTAGGGTCACCCAGCCTAGAAGGAGCACAGATGGATTATGAGTTGAGCTGTCTGACTCCAGAGACTGGGATTCTGGCCACTTGGCTACACAGGCCCTTCACATTTCAGTTTCCTTTCAGCCCAGTGACTTTTGACCCTTCCTAGGAAGTCAGATGTAAATTGAGGTCTAAAGCCAACACTGACCATGGCCTACAAGGCCCTACATTAGCTGCCCCATCACCTCCCTGCTTCATTTCCTTTCAGCATCACTTGCTCACTCTGCCCCAGACACACTTGCTGTCCTGCTTTTCTTCCAACGTATCAGACAGGCTTCTACCTCAGGATCTTTGCACTGGCTGTTCCCTCTGCTTGTCACCGTCATTCTTCAGACACCTACATGACATCCTTTCTCACTTCATTTAGGTCTCTGCTCAAATGTCACCTCCTCAGAGACATTTCCTGACCTCAAGGTCCTTCTTTTCTTCTTGTCCCATGTGTCACCAACTGGAATTTGCTATTTCTTCCTCACCCACTACCCCGAGAATGTCAGGACGGCAGGGACTGGGTCCATTTCATTCTTTACCACAGCCTGAGGATGCTCAATCAATGTTTGTGGAATGAATGGCAGCATTGCAGATGAGGAAACTGAGGCTTTGACCGGTGAAATCCTTTCCCAAGGCCACATAGCAAGTCAAGGGCAAAGGCTGGATTTGGTATCCCACTCAGGAGTGAAATCGGTGGGCTCAGATGCCACCAAAACTCTGTACTCACGCTGCCAGTCTGTAGCTCCCCTAGTCCCAAAGTCCTAATTTCCTGCAATTCCAAGGAGCTGGCAGTCAATCTGTTAGTGGTGAAGGAGTGGGCACCCTGGCAGCCAGGGCTCGGGTTTGTGGTTTGGGGGATGCCCCCCTTTCTCTCTGCGGAGGAAGTGCGTTTTGAGGAAGTGCAGTTCTCAAAACACCAGATTCAACGTCAGCCATTTCAGCCTTACCACAGCCCTAGGGGTGGGCAGATCTTATTCAGCCCCCTTTGCTGAGAAGGAAACAGGGCAGGGGGTATGATGCTGGCCTCGCGTCACGCAGTGAGTCAGCGGGCAGGGCTACAATCTGAATCTCACCCACTGGTCTGGAGCCTAGGAGACCTGGCTTTTAACCCTGATTCTGCCCTTCCTTGCTTGGGTGACCTTGGGCAAATAACTCTCCGTTTCCTCGGCAGGAATGGAAAGCCAAAGATGCCGTGAGTTAAAACGCAGCTTGGTGTTGGGAAGCCCTGGCATGGGCATCATTGGCATGGGCAAACGCGCCTGGAGGCGAGACGGGAACTCCGCGTCCTCAACTTTTCCGCCAAGTTCCTCTCCACCCGCCAGGCGGCCGTCTCTACCACGCTCGGCTTGGAGTGGAGGATGGAGGGAGCGGCCTGGTCCCGACGCGGGGAGGGCGAGGACCTCACCCGCAGCCTGCGGTCCGCTGGCCTGGCGCTCGCTCTCCGGGGCGCTCAATAAGCATGAAATTATAATACGGGGCGCCGCGGCAGTGGCGGCGGCGGCGATTTTGCTCTGCTCGGGGACCAGAGTCCCGGAGGCAGGTCCGGACTCTGAGCGCACACTCAGCCTGAGCCTTTCCTGTCACCCAGCAGAGGGCGCGCGGAGGGAGGGCGCGAGGAGAGCTCTGCTCCCGATACACATGCAGGGATATGGGAGCGCCAGGGACTGGGGGGAGGCGAAGACCCAAGTGGAGCCATGGGCCAGAGAGACACCCCAGTCCGACTGCGTCCACCCACTCCTGGGGCCAAGCAGCGTACCCTCCTCGGTGGGGAGAATCTAGGGGGTCCAAAAGGAGTCATACGTTGGCCCCGCTCCCAATTCAGGCAAGTCCCCCCCACCTCACCACCAGAGTCCTTCTCTTCCTCCCTCTCCATCTGCCTCTTGACTGATCGCAGCGGTGCGGTGACTCAGCCCCATGGGGCGCCGGGAGCGCAGGCTCTTACATCCCCAGGTCTGGAGGGGGGCTGTGGATGCCATCTCAGATATGGGGCAGTGCCCTCTCTTTAGAGGTGCCTGTGATTCAAGTCTGGAGGGCTCTCTGGATCCCCTTTTTGGTGGCTGCATGAGTTCCAACGTGGGTAGCGCAGGAGCCCCCTGAGTGTGCACCCTTTCTGAAGAACTGGGCTGGCAGAATACCCATTCTAAGGAGTGAGGTTCCCATTGGAGGCCTCTCAGTTTCCCCTTCCTCCTTCTGCCTGGGAGTGGGAGGAAGATGCTGGCACTAATGCCCTCCCTCCAGCCACAGCCACTGGAGTCTACACAGGCCCACAGTGAAACAGAAAACTGAGCCCCTGTGGGGATGTGGTTGAGGTTCCCGTTTTTCCTTCCCACCCTAGAGGAGCAGGGGAGCAGGGTCTACCACGGCCTCGCCTCCTCTCCCAAATCTGGGTCTGTGAGTGACTACCGAACATTCACTGTGTTAAGTCCTTTACTCACATCCCCAGTCTCACAGACCTGACCCCCACAAGGCAGTGCCAACAACAGCACCACTTTAGGTGGGGAAACTGGGGCTCAGAGACGGTAAGACATTTGTGCCAGGACACACAGGCATCAGACAGACCTGTGTTAGAATCTCAGCTCTGCCATTTTCTGGTTGTGTGAACTTGGGAAAGAAGGAGAAAGCACTTTGTCCCTCTGGGCCTCAGTTTCTCTATCTGCCCAACAGGAATACCTCACCGGGCACTGGGGATGAAGATGTGTGGAAAAGTCCCTGGCATGGAGCCCAAGAGTGAGCCATCACGAGCTAGATCCCACTGAGGCAATGATGATTATTACCACTCAGCTACTGTCACCAGAGAGTCAGCACCCCAGAGACCAGGGTCGGGGGGTCCCTGGGGCTTTAAAAGGGAAGAGTGCCCTGTTCCTCTTGTACCCTGCCCCTTCCTGGGTCTCTTAAACAGTGACCTGAGCCAGTTTGGTGTGCTGTCCCTGGTCCTGGCATTTCCTGTTGATTCCAGCTTTGTTTTCCTTCAGCTTCTTTTCAGTTCCCTCTGGGAACTAGCAGGCTGTGTGTGCTGGACCTATAACACAACTTCCTGGTCGGGGCAGGAATGCTGGGGCTGGGTGAGCCCTGAATGGAGACAAGTGGGTGACATGGAGGCTGTGGTGCCTGCTGGAAGTCCCCAGAGATAGCTAGAATAGTAGGGTCCCAGCCTAGAGGGACCTCGGACAGGAACTCCAGGAGTGAGAGACCTGAATGTGACTGTCTTACTGATGCTCCAGGCAGAGGGGTGCCCATGGGAGTCAGGCAAAGCACAGTCAAAGCCATCAGTCATCCATTTCACCAGAGCACAAAGTCAGAACCCAGAGCACCATCAGAACATGAGGTGGTTAAAGGACAGAACAGCAGGCAGATGGGAGAACACCCCAAAAATCAGAGCACCGACTCCCAGACACTGGACACACAAGTAGCCAAGAGCACGCCACAGTGTCTCAATCACAGTGTCCCAGGGAGCATGGACAGTCCTGCTGACACAATCACTTTGTCCCCAGGAGTATACATATCACAGTGCCACCATCACTGCATCCCAGAAACACACACTGTCACAATCACTGTCCTAGGAACACACACAGCCACCCTGTTATCACTGTCCCAGAAGTACACACAGTCACTCTGTCACAATCACTGTCCTGGGAGCATAGTGATTGTGTTACAATCACTACATCCTACAGTCACTCTGTTACAATCACAGCATCCTAGGGGCACACACAGTGACACAATCACAATGTCCTGGGAGCACATACAGCCACACTGTCACAATCACAGCACTCCAGTAGCACAGTCAGCCTGTCACAATCACAGCACTCCAGGGGCACACACAGTCACCCTGCAAAATCACTGTGTCCCAGGACCACACAAAGTCACTGTCACAATCACTGTCCCAGAAGCATGCGGTCACATAATCATAGTCCTGGGAGCACACAGTCAACATGTCACAAACTACACTATCCTGGAAGCACACACAGTCCCACTGCCACAATCACAGGACCCCAGAAGCCAGGCAGAGCATGCAGCCGAGGCAGCCACAGCTGGTCATCCCCAACAGCTGGAGCAAACACAGGTCAGTGAGAGGATACACAGCACACACCCCAACACTAACACCATCAGCTGGGGAGGCCGGCACTCCCTCACCCTGTGCTGGGACTGTGTGACCCCTGGCACTGTTCCCTCTCTCTGGGAAGCTACTGAACCCTAACACTCTTGCCCTGAAAGGAGGCTCCAACACAGCACACAGGCCCCCAAACACAGTGCTCCCCCAAGAGGCCCCTTTCAGATTACTGACCCCAGCAGCAGGGCAAGTCTACGAATTCTGCCTCCAATACAGTCCTCCCCACTCTAGAAGGAAACTAAGAGCCCCCCAGCCTGCAGAAAACATTGTGGTCCCAGCAGGCAGCTCCCCCCTCCACTACAGATTGACCCCTAGGACATCCCCACAGTGAATCTAACCCTTAGTACAGTGACCGCAGGAAAGCCCTGTCGGGTGGTATCCAGCTTAGCCACTGTCCTGCACTGTCACCAATGAAGGATATAGACCCTGAAAGCTGCAGCCCTCAAACAAGACCCTGTTAATGCCACACGCAGCATGGCACCCCTCACTCAACCCCAGGATCAGCTTCAGTCAGAAGCCTCGGGTAGAGTGCACCACCAGGGGCCAGGTCCCGGACGCCCCCGCAGTAGAACTCCCCCCTCCGCCCCCCCC